AAATAAACTATTATGATAGGGAGATGGTCCTCAAAAACCTCAGAGATCTACAGAATTTAAATATCTACACATTTAAATATGTGTTATTAGTAAAAGGCTTTTTTTGACAGACATGTCAGCTCCTGGCAGCACCCTCATTCTGCAAAAAAAAGAAGAAAGAAGAAGAAGAGGGAGGAGAAGAAGACAGAGAAGAAAGAGAAAGAGAGAAGGAAGAAGAAGAAGAAGAAGAAGAAGAAGAAGAAGAAGAAGAAGAAGAAGAAGAAGAAGAAGGGCATCCAAGAACCTCCATATGGAGTTTGCTTCTTATGTGGCAAGCTAAGCATTGGGCAAGAAACTGCCCTTGCTCAAACTGTTGACAGTATGCTGACCAAACTGGAAGTCGACTTTGCCAGGACAAGTTATGCAAGTCCTTCATACTTCCTACTTCTCATAAAAGTCTGTCACATACTAGACCAAAGGCCAAAGGTGATGCCCCTGTGTTGCAGAGGAACCTTGGGTGACTGTCTAGGCAGCCAGCTGCTGTCATTTCTAGCATTTTGGAAGCTGTTTGCCTTGTACTTCTTGTCTACTCTGGTAATATTTATCCTTCTCGGCTCTCTGATGGGATTGAAGACTAGATAGTTAAGCTTAAGTTGTTTAGGATTTAAGAAAATGTTTTTAAGGTCTAGGAAGATATTTTTTAGGTCGATAAGTTCATGTTATGATAGAACATGTTTTAAGTTCAAAACTATGAACTCACCAAGATAGGATAGATCTCTAGGGTTGCCAAATACAAATGGACTGGATGGACACTGTGAATGTAATTCTTCCCTGGTAGTTTTCGTAATTGTTTTTATTGTCTATAGTTTATTAATGTAAGAGAAAGAGCCTTTTGTTGGACTAAAGGGGGATATCTTGAAGGATGTTTTGTTCACCGTGTATTCAGATGATGATTTTTATTTATTTATTACATATACAGTGTTCTACCTGGATACCAGAAGAGGGCACCAGATCCCATTATAGATGGTTGTGAGCCACCATGTGGTTGCTGGGAAGTGAACTCAGGACCTCTGGAAGAGCAGACAGCGCTCTTAACCTCTGAGCCATCTCTCCAGCCCTCAGATGATGATTTTCATACCCAGCGATCTGGTTGAAGTCTGGATGTTGGCATTGTCACTTCTATGAAGCATCTCCTGTCTCAATGTTGTGTTGATCTCCATCACATCTGATTGGTTAATAAGGAGCTGAACAGCCAGGTTGGAGAGATGGCTCAGAGGTTAAGAGCAATGGCTGTTCTTACAAAGGTCCTGAGTTCAATCCCCAGGAACCACATGGAGGCTCACAACCATCTGCAATGAGATCTGGTGCCGTCTTCTGGCCTGCAGGTACTCATGCAGGCAGAATGCTGTATAAATAATAAATAAATAAATAAATAAATAAATGAATGAGCTGGACAGCTATTGGCCAGGATTTGATAAGGTGGGACTTCTGATCCCAGTGAGGGGGTCCCAGGTGGTCCCAGGTGGA